TCGGCACTCCAACAAGCCCGGTGCGGCAAAGCGGTACCCTTGGGGGGGGGGGGGGGGGCGGGGGTCACTTCGGCGGGTATTGTGGAAGCGGGGATGTTTAAGTACCGTCCCCTTTTAACATCGGTTGGCCTGCTGGGGTATGATTTGCCCATTCGTAGATTAGCTCTCGGAGGGGGGAGGGGGTAGGGGGGGCAGCAATCTTCGTTCCTGTCACAACCACCAAGAGGAGGAGGGCGGTCTGCAGGCGGGGTTTTCGGTAACGTAAGCGCGCACACGTATGATAAACCTCTAGGTTTGGCCGAGCCTGTGAGGTTCCTTGGGTTGGTTGCGCTACGAATGGCTGCTGTTATAAAGGTTTTAGTCTGAGGGTCCTTGGCCTGGGAACTCTCCTGTCAGTTTAGGGCATACTACCATACATGGTTCTCTCTGACCCCCCCCCCCCCTCCCCCGCATGACATTGCTAAGGGGTGGGGGTAGTTCTCGCGCACCTTTTCACACACCAGATTTTGGTTTGGTTAGGTGTCATGCACTCATGCACGTGTTCGGAGGAGTTTTACAGGAGGCGTGCTTGGGGTATCTCGTATGTACGAGGGGAGGGGGGGGGGGGGCATCTTGTTCGTACTCGCTTTGGTGCCCCGTCTGTTTTTTGGCTCTGATAGATTGATGCTCAGCAGTTTTTGCGGGCTTCCCAGGCCGGCGCATGCTGCTGCACTGTTCCTTCTTGGTGTACCATGGCGGCGAACGCATGTGAACGCATGTCCAAGACGTCGTTAGACCATCGACCTCGCATCCCTACAATGCCGGCACGGAGCGAATGTGCCGGGTTTTCGCCGGGGGGGGGGGGGGGGGCGGCGGCGGGCGGTGCTTTTTCACTGGAGTAATGCCTTGATTTTTTTTTTTTTGGTCGCGATAATGTTTATGTTGCGTTGAAGAGTTTCACCGAGAGGTGCCCCCTGGTGGCGCCGGAATAGACGGGAGACGAACACACACCCCCACACGACGTCGTTGCATGTGTGCGGGGCCCCTTGGGCACGGAAAGAAGAAGGTAGCGTGTGTGTGTGTGTGATGTGTGTTCGCGCTGCTGCTGTATTATGCGCTGTGTGTAGCCCGTTGTAGTAGTTAATGGGTGCGGTTGGTGTACGGAAAATATCATGGTTAAGGGGGGAAAAGGAAAAAGGGGGACGACTGACTCAAGGCAGCATCGTTGTCGTTGTATGATACCCCGTTTTTCTGTGAGAGAGTTTTATGTCGATCGCTGCCCCGACTTCTTTTTAGAAACGTAGGTATGCGTAGCAGCGGCCATCCCCTCATGTAACGCCAAAACACGCCGCAGAAAGAGAGAGGGAAAGAGAAGAGAGAGAAAGAGTCACCCATCATCGCGTCCCACGTATCTATAGTTCGCAGTTCGCTTTTTTTATTATTTTTTTTGTGTGTGTGTGTTGAAAGTTCCGCCGCATCATCCATCCGTAATGATAATGATGAACGAGAAATAAAACATGTGCGTGTGGGATGATGGGTGTTGGTGCACGTAATTCCGTGGGGGTTGGTTTCCTAGGAAGGGAGTCGTCTTGCCGAATTGCATATGTATGTTACAGTTGTGTCTATCTTCGGAGTTGACGAGGCGTTTTCAAGCCTACGTTGTTGCTTCCGGTTTCGCCGCGTTTTTTGGGTGCTGTTGAGTGTGGTCGGCGACATGGTGATACAATGTGCTTGCTTGTTGTGGACTGCTGGTTGTTCCGGTTGACGGCGATGCTGGTGGATGAGACGTAACGTGTGCATGTTCGCCCCGAGGGTGGGCGAAAAAATACAAAAAAAAACGGGTACACAGGTACTTTCTGACGCTATGAATTCATTGCTAATCTGTCTCAGACTCTTTTCTATGATAGAGATGGATTCGTTGTGTCATATTAAGAAGAATAAAAAAAAAAACCGGGTATTTTCAATGGTACATAACAGTAGGTGGCCCGGTTTAGCGACCTCCTGTTTGGCGACCACAACAACAGCACCTCGCCCCGCCACACCCCGGTAGTGTAACTGCTGTACAACTGGTAATAGTTCGGTTTAGCGACCTGCCCTGAACAGCGGCCACATTTCGTCGTGGGGGGCCACATTTCGTGGTCGCTAAACCGGGCCCCCCACGGTAGTACAAATCGACGGTCTCACTTCATGTCACGAGCTTTTCTGTCGCATCACATTGATTGCAGATTTACTTTATCGATTTGGTTTGTTGGATCAGATTCCCCAACTGAGGAATACGTGACTGACCAGCCCTTGGCCCCGACCCAACCGGCGACATCGTAGGCTGTACCAATACGGTGGTATATGCCTAAACCTAACCCTGTCCCAACGTTGACGATGCCGTAGGCTGCGCTGCATGCATACCGCGGTGCTGTTTTTCGAACATCTTTTTGACTGCCACCATCGTGTGTTGGAAGTACCTTGCAGAACGACTCTTACCACCCCATGACCTTGTGAAGGCGTTGCCAACGGGTCGAAACTCGTTCTTCTCATCATGCCGTTTCCTCATTTTCCGTCCTAGGTACAAAAACAAGAAATACTTCTAGCTTGCATCTTGATCCAAGAGGCAGCTTTGTACCGAGATTTCTACTTTTATCCTGTGGTGTTTAGCTGCTGCTCCTTTCGGAACGCAGAAAATAACCTGTCTACGAAAGCTCCTGTCTGGCCTTTCTCTTGTGTTACTCCGGCTGATGCGTCAGGTACATACGCCGAGAGGCCTGTCAACCGGCGCCACAACAGACGGGACGAAGACACACACGGCCTACTACATCATTCTGGCCCAGAAAGTCCAGTATGCCGCCCCCCCGCCCCCCCCCCTTGATTGACCATCATCGGTGATCAGTCCCGTGGGAACAAGGATG